TTCAATATCATTGACACTCTTGCCATGATTTAGAATGGGTGCGGTGATTACATTGGGAGTTGACAGAGGGTCGAATTCAATTGTCTTGTTATCAATAAGGTCTTTGATTTTATTCTTTAGAGACCAACAATCATTGGTATCATGTCCGTGACTGTTTGAGTGGTAAGCACACTTGGCATTGGGGTTGTATTTTGGAGAAGCAGTGTTAAGGTTGGAAGGAGGATCTCGCAAGGTCACCAAATCATATTTGAATAGGTGTTGCAGAGCTTGACATATTTGCATATTTATTATAGTAAATTGCCTTCTTTGAACATCCAGTCTTTGTTAATTATTTTGTTGACACATTCGTTGAGTTGGAGTTGGATTGGAGATTAGCACAACCTCTACTGAATGATGATGGTCATTCATAGCATGTCTTCTTGACCTATACACGGAATTAGTCTCTTTTTTTACCAATAAATGGTTTTTTCACAGCATTTGAAGTGGAGGCCATGGGTATCTTCCCACTTTTAATCCCGCTTTCAACCCTCTCACCAGTCAAGATCAATTCAGTGAATTCGGATAATGAACTTCCAATTAGCAAGTTAAAAAATGGTCCAGTCAATGTTACCATAAACATATCTATCAACTCCCTTTCTGTAAAGGTGGCTGCACCCTTCCAGCCAGGTCTCTCAATTTTTTGGCGTATTCTTTGAATCCCTCATTTGATCCCATGGTCATTCCTTGCAATTACACCCTAGTTGGCGCCAGATCAGCATTATATTGATATTGGCGGTAAAAAGCAGTAGCTAAATCCTCCCAAGTATGGATGCTAGTCCCTTCCAATTGGTAAAACCACTCCAACTGCGTCCCATATTGACTTTCTTATAAAAAGTGCACCCACAGTTTCTTATCAGTGGTATGCGGCTGAGTTTTACAGATGTAAGATCTTATGTGAAGCTTCGGGCATGAGACACCATCGTACTTGGAAAAAGCAGGGATCTTGAACTTATGGGGAATGACTACCCCAGGAACCAAACCCAAGTCACCAAAGTCTAAGCCAGGCACAACTTGGATTTCCACAAATTTCAATTTGTCTTCTAGTTGTTTATACTTGTCGTCGCTCGATGGATATTTCTCATCAAAATAATCTTCATCTTCAGAGATTTGATTGTTTCCGCCCCCAGCACGGGTGCTTCTAGCATATTCATCTTGATTCTCATCCTCCTCCTTGGAGTCTTCTTCAACTTGAACTTGTAGGACGGGGCCTTTGAATCTATTCCCCATGTTGACTACAACTTTCTTCTTTGTCTTCTTCTTCGTGACAAGAAGAGTCACCATTTCTTGCTTCCCCTTTGCTAAGTTGAGCAGAGTTTCTTGAAACTGAGAGTTTTGAGCTTGTAAGTCCTTCACAGTTTTCTCGAGATCCATTTTGTACTGAAATAAACAGTAGAAAGATGAGGAAACCTATGTCGGAAAACCTGCTTATGATATGATGCATGTTATGCGTATGCAATGTTTTCAAGGATTTTTGAGATTTAAATTTGCTTAAACAAAGAGGAAACAAAACATTAATTGTAGTAATGAGTTCATGAATTACAAATGCCTTTTGGGCTTAGAACGGAAGGAACAAAGATAATACAAAATAAACTCCTAAAACAAAAGGACTCAACCTTCCCATGGGATCATCCTCTTCGGTTTAGGCATTCAAACTTCACTCTTCATGAAGTTGTCTCGTGAGTTCCAAAACCTTCTTCTCGCTTGCGTAAAATTGGGGTTCAAAGGTGTCTCACTCTCCTTTGAGTTGAATCCATGATCTTTGAAACTCCTCGAGAGTAGTTATCATGTCAAGATGAATAATAGTGTAAGGAACATCTCCTTCTACAATAGGCTCCATAATGATAGGTAGGATAGCCACATACGACATCATTAGGCTTTGAGCGCGAGCTCGCACCCACTTGAGGCAAGGCTCCAAAGGAATAGAGTTCTTATGCCCTAAAGTTTAGCTATCAACTTTGTTCACCATGCCCCAAGCTCGTACAAGTCTTTGATGATAACCTTGGACATCATTCTCATAGTCAAATACAATACCTTGGACAAGCGCGTCATGAGGATCATCCCTCTGATAATACCTAAACTGTCATATAGCCAGGCAAGGATTATAAGTGATACCTCCCCTAATGCCAAGGAGTGGGACATTAGGGAATTATCCATAACGGTCGATAATGGTAACATCCTCCAAAGATCGAGAACACCAATGAATATCTGAATGCAAGAGTGACATCAACCTATGAGACCATCTCATGCCTTGGTCATTCTTCAAAACAGATCAAGGAAGGTGCAAAATAAACCACCTAGCCAACAAAGGAGTGCAACACATAAGAATTCCTCTTCTCTTCATAGTGCGAGTGTGGAAACAATGTAGAATGTCTCCGAGCAAGGTAGGTACTGGGTTACGAGATAGAAAAACTTTGACCATATTCACATCTATGAGTTGGTCCTGGTTAGGAAACAACACTATCCCATAGATTAGAAGAGCCAAAATTTATTCAAAATCTTGAAAATCCAGAGCATCCCAAAATAGTTGAGCCTTCTCAAACAAAAACTTGGCTAGAAAACCTTTAACGCAACTTATTGTTTCCCAATTTTCCATAACGTCGAACCATTGAAAATGTAAGGCTAAAGCAATGTCCTCAAGTCTTGGGTCTTTCTCAATATCGTTGAAGGGTAATTGATCAAGAATAGGCACTCCCAAGAGTTGAGAGAACTCCTCCATGGCGGGTGCTAGTTGGTAATCAGGAAATGTGAAACAGTGGTGTTTAGGATCGAAGAATTGAAAAAGCACATGTAACATTTCCTCTTCAAATTTTGAGGTAACCAAGTTGATAAGTCGACCATACTTCTCGGTGAGCGGAGAATTATTGGGAACCCTTGACACCAACTCTTTGAGTTGAGGAGGAACTTTCACAAGGTTGATTCAGATGGTATTTCTTCGCGTGGAAGCCATATCTTATAAAACAGAACAAAGATAAATCCCAAAGTCCTTGAAATGATTAGTGCAAATGCCATGGTATGATGTCATGATGTTATGTATAAATAATCATATACACATAAAGAAAACAAGTCCTTAAGTTTAGGCTTGCATGGGGTTTATAGGAAAGTACCCTCTTGAAGTTTAGTTGGTTCAACCTGTCCTAAAAAGTAACCGAGTTCTAGGGAATCTCAATATTATTGACATTTCTTCATCAAGCAATATTTCAGTGCAAGCCTCTTTATTGGCGATCGAAATATCCCGAAAGTCCGATCTCAATGAGCGCAATATCGAGTATCAACCAACTTCGGACTGCACCAAAGCCGGCTTGTCATACCCCAAATTTGCCCACCCTTTATTTCAACAGTAAAAAATATTTTAATTATTGATTTTAAAATATCATTTTATTTTTATAAAATATTCACTTCCAAACCTGTTTAAAAATATAATGATTTATTTCAGATCATTTGTATTTTTGAATAAATAAATATTCCCATACATTTCATATACTTTCAATTGAGTTTATTTACAAATAAGTAACATAGCACAATTGGTAAGGAATGAAGATTGTAAATATAAGTTCGCGGGTTCGAATCTCATCTTTGACATTCTAAATATTATCCTATTTTACTAACTTTAAGTTCTCTTCTATTTTTCTTTATTAAAAAAAAGTCAAAATTACATTTTTTTCTAAACATTTAATATTAATTTTCGTTTTTTGTTTAATCATGTTTTAAAATATCATTATTTTCATTAAAATCATGAATGTGTGCATCAAATACACAAAAAATAGAATACAGTAAAAATATTTTAAATTTTTTTATTTTAGGATAGTTCTTAATGAATTGATCAAAATAGACATTTTAAAAATCAAATTAAATTAGTTATTAAATTTGGATTAATTATCATTAAAATTGATTATTTCTCTTTTTATCTTTCAACTTAATTCTTAATGTTATAAATAGGTGTATATTTTTTACATAAAGGGGACAGGCAACTCACCAAGAATATCATGCACAATATCCATAAAATTCTCGCACAATTCATCCAAAAATATTGATAATTGCCACAGATCCGCGATCAACAATTTTTCTACCAACAATCACCCACAATTGCAATTTCTCATAATTCATTTACACCTTTTTCAAATATTTTTTTTTCTTCTTCACGCATTTTCTTTCAAAATTATTTGGCCGATGATTTCCATATGAGGCCCATCCATATTATTTTCAATTTTATCCTTTATAATTTAAACCATATAATAATATTGTCTGATGGTTGTTTTGTTTTATAATATTTTCTTCTTGCTGTAAATATAAATTTTGTCCTAAATTACTATCATGCGTTTTCTTCAACAATTTCACAAGAAACATAACATAATACTACGGTCTTTTTTTATTCGATGGAACCCAAAATTAATAGAATACGTATTAAGCAAAGAAACCAACTATGTAGTCAAGCACTTCAATAATTGTATTACTTTTGTATGATACCCTGCCATTATCGTTAACATTGTTTCTATCATATACAAGATTCAAATATCATAACTAATCATTCATGAACCTTCTTCCATTATCCACACAAACAACAAAACCACAAACTTTTCAAAACAAATTTGTCCCAAATTCTCTTCTAACAACCTGTATTTTTTATTTTACAGAACAATATTTGTGAAAAGAATCAGAAACACAAAATTCGAATTAAATCGCAGCTATTATTATTGATGATTGTGTGTCTATTTCTTCCATCCCTTTTGGTTTCTTTGCATGCAGGTTGTTGTTAATAAAAGAAGAAAGAAGATTTAGAGATACGGCAAATCGGAAGCCTATGATTGCACCACCGCGACTCCCTCCTCCTCACGGCCGCGAGATCCGCCGTCGCGAGACCTCAACTGTCACTACACTCCTAGCGCTGCTACACGAACTTCGCTACTGAACCATTCTTTTCCTTCGCACAAAAAGGCGCTGGTGCAACGAAACACTCCGTCGCAATGTTCCTAAATCCGTCACTATCCGTCACCAATCGAACTACTTCACGCGCACCCTCATCGCGATCCCAACCGCATGTCACTGTCCAGATTCGCCGGTATTCCTTTCTCTATTTCAATCTTGTTTTTGTTTTAGTTTGTTATTTATGTGTGATTGAGGTTGTTGTGGGATTGTTTGGTTCCTTTGGAAAATAAAAGAAAATGGTTTGGTTATTCTCTATTTTGTACAGAGAGAAAAATGAAACGAGGATAAAGATGGATATGAGTTTTATTTATTTATTTTATTATTTAAAATTCTACGTACCACGTGTCAATCTATGATTCGTTAAATCTTAATTTAAAAACAAAAAAACAAAAAAGAAAAAGTATCTGATACAGAAGGTGGGACGTTCCCACGTTATTCCTATAACAATATTACTACTTTATTTATTTATTATTATTATAAATATATTAGTATTACTATAGAAACTAATTAGAATTTAAAAATTAGGATTTATTTTTGAGTTGGGCCTTTTGGGCTAATGTTTCTAATCTCTTACTTGTTTATACTTTTGCTAATCTTACACCACCCAGCGTGCTATTGAACACCCTTTAAATATTAATTATTAAAATTTTGTTGTTAACTTAATTAATTTATTTTCTTTTGATTGTTAAAAACATCAAAATACTAAAAAAAATCAAATTCTATACACGATCAAACTTTTTTTTCCAATATAATTAATTCAACATTTTATAAATATTAGAATGTCCATCTTCGAGTAATTAAATCGGTCGACACATCGTCTTTCGGTTTATTATTCTGAATCTCATATCAAAATCCACGTGACTAATCAAATACTTCATTTGTGAGTGACACGTGGCCAATATCTGGCCACGTGATGAGGAGACTATACCAGATTCCCCTGCTCTGCGTCTTAAAACTACTAACCAATCTCAAATCATTTTTTTACTGACATAACAATCAAATTCAAAAACATTTTCAAAAAGGATTAAATAGCATCGCCTTCGAATCAAACTATGAACTGCGTCTACGATCACTCAGTTTACAACTCAGACAAAGTTCAAAGTTAATTCGAAAGCAATTCTATACAATCCATAAAAAAACACAAGCCAAACACCGCGAACTACAAAAATGAGACTCTGATTCCTCCTAAGGAGGATACGTAGGCATACGATCAAAAATCGTTACGAGTCCCGCTAACTAAAATTAAAACCCTTTTCCACTAATTATACTTAAAAACCCTATTTCCTAACAATACGCTTCTAAACCTAGTATCCTTGTGAACAAGGTAGATGATGGGTGCCTAACACCTTCCCCTCGTCTAGAACCGAGTCAAACTTAGAATCTCTGAATTTCTTTTAGGATTATTCCTTTATACTCCCTTCCTTTAGGATAAAAATTAAGGGTGGCGACTCTATCTAAAAACCAGTTGCAACAGCTGTCGACTCTGTTGGGGACCCAACCCTAGGTTTAGAAGCCTCAACTTTAGGTTTTAGGGTTTTTCTTTATTTTTGGGTTTTATTCTTTCCTGTTTAATTATTTATTTTCTTGCTTATTTTTTATTATTCATTATACTTATATATCTGTGGTGGGATTTATAACTTTGCAAAAAAATTATTCTCAAAAACCTTAGAAAGAAGGTTCGTCTATTAGCCAAGGGGTTACATCAACCCTATGAGTTTATGTGACGACTTCGCCTAGAGTCGGTGGAACTCCACAAAAGGAATACCTCTCGAGAGACATCTTCTTGGGAAGTAGGACTTTGGAATGATACCTATGACTCTTTGTACGACCTTTAAACCAGAAACTCATGATAAGACCTTTCATTACCTAGAGACGAAAGTTTCGGTCTGTAAAGAGACTCTGCTTAAGGGAGGCCCTTATGCCTTTCCCTCTAGTTTCATTCACGAGACCTTTAAGAAAGCCACCTTATGGGGAGGGTAGAATATTCGCAGTTCAATACTAAGAACCTACCTTATAAGGATACCTTTCACAAATCCTACTACAATCTGCAAGGGTTATCCCTTTATTCACTACTATCTCTAGCCCGTAGGGCTTCCGTCTATGTTGTTATCCTTATCCTGTAGGGACTCCTCGTTGTCTTTCATTTACCATAATGCTTAGGGAATCCTTGCTTGTCTCAATCTCTGAGATAATGTAGGACATCATCAAATTTATGTCTTTTATCATCTTCGTCCGCTAGGGGTCCTTGCATGTCTCAATTCCTGAGTCAGAGTAGGATATCATCATCAAACCTGTATAGGGTACCCCTACGTCTATCATTATTTTACGTCTGTATCGCATTGCATATCCACGAAACTTTTTTGTATACCTAAAAGCAAAAAATGTTTTTGTATACCCATGCATTATCGTAAATTCATTTCATGCATCTTCACCTTCGCCCTTATCCAACTATCATCCATTTGCTAGTCGATTTCTTAATACTCACCAACGAACTTAAGAAAGTTTGAAACTGTGGAAAAAGGAGATCATATACTAGAGACTCAATGGAGCTTGGTCCTATAAGTATTATTGGAGAGAGAAGGCAACCCTTCACCATGACAACTACATGCCTACACATCACCTCAAATGCCACTACCATTGGTGATTCCTCTACATCAAGAGCAATTGTCCTATCAACAAAATAAGTATGCCCAAGAAAAGTCAAGGGTCATCCCTATGATCTGACAAGTCCAAGAACTAAGAAGCATCCCCTAAAGTTAGTGGATCAACAAGAAGGCTTATCTCTAGATAATTAGGCTTTTATCATTTCAAATTGTAATTTCTTTCTTGCTGAGTGTTATTTGTCATAAATTATGTACTTTTTAGTCAAGTAATTCTAATAAAATAAGCGTGCATGTTTTTGAAATCGATTCCTTCCACACAAAAAAAAATCAACAACTTTCCATTTTCACTCTTTCTTTTCCATTTTTAAATTAACAAACTTCGATGGAGAATGATGAAAATACAAAATAATCAAATTTTGCTGACGTATGCTTTTTAATACTAAGGCTTAGATGATGATGTAAGGCATTATTTCAATCCCTAGACAGTGGAGATATAAGGAGATAATCTGTAGTTAACCCCCTCGAGCCAGAAGTCGGAGTTCTTTCTATTTTCTTAAAAAAAAACCCTTCATCTTAACCAGGGGCAGGGTAGATTTCAATTAATTCGAAGATGCATTCATATCCCAGGAGAATCAAAACAATCTAAGCAAAGGTTCAAGCATATATCTTTCCTCGGTACATCATCGAGATAACGGTCTAAGCAAAGGTTCAAGCATATCTCTTTCCTCGATACATCATTGAGAAAACAATCTAAGCAGATATTCGAGCACATCATTTTCCCCGCGTTCATCACCCAAGATTGAGGAATCAATAAAAATAAAGTCCAAGACACCCTTCTTCCTCAATCAAGATCGAAGAAATGATGAAGATAAAGCTTACAACAATCAGCATGGTAGTCACAAATTTTAAAAAGCAAAAACAAAAAAAAAATTCAAAAAATATAGAGAAAGCCCGCTAAGTCAAAGCAAATCAATACTTGACTTAGGTAAAAATTAAGGCATCCAAATGGATCTAAGAAAAGAATTCAAAAAAAATTGGTCCATGAAAAAATAAGGGATTGAAAACAATAAATTAAAGAACAATCTTGTGACTGCCACCTTAAGAACCATCAAGGCTTATCATCAACACTTGGATCTTATCAACACTTGGATCTTATTAATGCTCATATCTTATCAATGCTTTTCATCAGCGCTTGGATCTTTGCCTACGCTTCTCATCACCTGCGCGACTACGAAACTTCTGTTGGGGATTAAACACATCCGTTGGATTAATTGAACTTAGGATTGGAGAACATCAAGGAGAATGGGGTGGGCTAAATTAATTTTGAGCCTTTTATCTTTTGTTTCTTAAACCACGAACCATGGCAACGTTACAACCTTTAAAAGTCCTAATTGAGGCTAGGTTCACTATGAAAGCATATTCAACAAGATTTGTGTTAAATTGACTCCTATGTTTGTTAAAATCATTTCTAACTACTTCGATTCTTCGAATATTCATCTTCTAATCTTCCATTTCTTTTCAAATAATCCATTTCAAGAACGTGCATGTGCATCAAACAGAATTACTTTTTCGAAATGTACAATTTTATCTACGAATCAATACTTAGCATCAAAGAGATTTCAAGAAGGTCTGATCAAAGGCCATCCTTTCCAAGAAGCTCCTAACTGGGGCAAAAGCATCTAAGGGGATCCCTATAAACAAGGGCATAGACTAATGATCATAGGGGTATATCACACGAAGATAATATTGACAAGGGGCGGTCATTCAGAGGTTCAATCAACTTGGATCAAATTTTAAAGCACTGGTCAACAAGGTGCATATATTTCGAAGAAGCATTCATGCCACAATAGGATATGACTCGGTTTCCTCGTTTTAATAAACTCCTCAAGGCCTGGAAGCAGGGGCAACTTTCCGAGATTCAAATGTTGGGGCAGTGTGTACCAAGTTCATCCTACAACACGTAGGGTCCAAATTCTTCAAGCAACTTCAAGTATAAACTTTTCAAGCTTCGAATAATTGGGGAAATCTATGTCAAGTTCATGGTAAAGTCTGAGTTCTTTCTAAGGATACTTCCTCCGGATCTTGGAGATTGAGGGGCATGTCTTTCAAAATTCGAATGTTGGGGCAAACCACTGCGAGGCTCGATCAAAAAAGAAGTTGATACAAAAGGGTCCATCAAAGCCAAGCATTTTTCAAGAGTCTTTTAATCAGGGGCATAATGCAAAATATTGGGGTCATTCACATTATGATCAAACTTTTTCCAAGCTCATATTAAAGATAATCTCCTCCAGGACCCTACCAACAAATTAGGAAAAACAGTCCATACAAAAGCAAGCTCTCTTCATACTTTCATAAACCTCCGGTGGACCTCTCTTCTACGTCAGCAATCTTCGAGTTCGAAACAAGTATCAGGGAATCATGCAAGCACAACACTCAACCATAATGTGACAAGCAACCTTGTTGCATAAACAAACCTCCATGCTTTAATCATCCACAACCCATCACAGGGGCACCATTCAAAAAATATCCAATTCATAATCATAAAGCATAAGGCTGCATAAATCATGCATTAGGGCTCCTAGATCTAAAACCAAGCCATACTATCATCTCATTCATCTACGCATTCCAACAGCATGGGTCGAGCGTATCTCAAAAAGCCTAACTATGCATTCGCATTTCAAAGTCCAACATCCATTTACATATATCCAAGTCATTCATCACATTTCATGCATCAATCAATCATTCTGTACATCAATCAATCATCATATTTCATGCGTCAATCAATCATTACATACATCAAACAATTCATACGTCAATCAATCATCATATTTCATGCGTAAATCAATCATTACATACATCAAACAATTCATACGTCAATCAATCATTACATGCATCAATCAATCATTACATTACATGCACCAATCATATTTGCACGCATAGCATGAAACCTCATTTTATGTGAAGGCAATCATCATCGACAATCAAGCTACCAATTCTACATAGAATCTCGGTAGTAGATTCCTCTTGTTGATCATGGCAGGTGATTTTTTGGAAAACCTAGGCAGGAGGTAATCTTTTAACAGAATCTCGGAAGTAGATTCCCCCGGTTGATCACGGAAGGTGATTTTCAAGAAAACCTCGGCAGGAGGTAATCTTTCGACAAAATCTCGGCAGTAGATTCCTTGGAAATCTTGGCAGCAGATTTCCCACTAAGAGCCTCACATCAAGCATGATGTATGCAAAATCTCAAAGATCATTTGCAACATTTGGTGCATCTAACATACATAAACACCAAAGAGCATTTGATAAATCATCAAAGTTTATTCTGGTTAGAAGAGCAGCGAAGGAAAATCCATGCCTACACCCATGTCCACGCCAATTTCTATGCACATGCCTACGTCTACGACTACGACTACGCCAATGTCCATGTCCCCGTCCATGACCAAGCCTATTTCCACGTCCACACCTACCTACGTCCACACCTATTTCTATGCACATGCCTACGTCCATGACTACACCAACATCCACGTCCATACCTACGCATGCGTCTACGATACAAACATTAAGATCTCGCAAACATCTCTCACCAAATCCAAATCCACTTGGAGATACAATAAGGGTAGACAACACTGTCGAGGAGTTAGTGACTACGAGAACCCAATTGGTTTACCAAAAAAAAAATCTATCAAGAGCATACACATATACTTGGGGGCATACACATACATTTGGGGCATACACATGCATTTGGGGCATAAGCACATAAGTATTCTTGTACATACACATATAAACATTTTGGGTATACATCACACTCGGATAACATATCCATTTAGGGCATTATGCATGCATGGCATCTTGCAGAACTACTTTGTTTAAAATTACAATTTTCTTGGGGTTCATCTTTAGTAGGCTTATTTGAGCGAACTATTAGTTCAAATTATAAAGTGATTCGGGGTTCATTTTCTTCATGATGATAATGGTTAAGACGACACGACCAATATCATCGTGAATTTGGGGTTCATTTTCTTTATGTTGATAATGGTTGAGACGACACGACCAATATCATCATGAACTTGGGGTTTATTTTCTTCATGTTGATAATGGTTGAGATGACACGACCAATATCATCATGAATTTGGGGTTTATTTTCTTCATGTTGATAATGGTTGAGACGACACGACCAATATCATCATGAATTTGGGGTTCATTTTCTTCATGTTGATAATGGTTGAGACGACACGACCAATATCATCATGAATTTGGGGTTCATTTTCTTCATGCTGGTAATGGTTGAGACGACACGACCAATATCATCATGAATTTGGGGTTTATTTTCTTCATGTTGATAATGGTTGAGACGACACGACCAATATCATCATGAATTTGGGGTTCATTTTCTTCATGTTGATAATGGTTGAGACGACACGACCAATATCATCATGAACTTGGGGTTTATTTTCTTCATGTTGATAATGGTTGAGACGACACGACCAATATCATCATGAATTTGGGGTTTATTTTCTTCATGTTGATAATGGTTGAGACGACACGACCAATATCATCATGAATTTGGGGTTCATTTTATTCATATTGATAATGGTTGAGACGACACGACCAATATCATCATGAATTTGGGGTTCATTTTCTTCATGCTGATAATGGTTGAGACGACACGACCAATATCAACATGAATTTGGGGTTTATTTTCTTCATGTTGATAATGGTTTAGACGACACGACCAATATCATCATGAACTTGGGGTTTATTTTCTTCATTTTGATAATGGTTGAGACGACACGACCAATATCATCATGAATTTGGGGTTCATTTTCTTCATGTTGATAATGGTTGAGACGACACGACCAATATCATCATGAATTTGGGGTTTATTTTCTTCATGTTGATAATGGTTGAGACGACATGACCAATATCATCATGAACTTGGGGTTTATTTTCTTCATGTTGATAATGGTTGAGACGACACGACCAATATCATCATGAATTTGGGGTTCATTTTCTTCATGTTGATAATGGTTGAGACGACACGACCAATATCATCATGGATTTGGGGTTTATTTTCTTCATGTTGATAATGGTTGAGACGACACGACCAATATCATCATGGATTTGGGGTTTATTTTCTTTATGTTGATAATGGTTGAGACGACACGACCAATATCATCATGAGTTTGGGATTTATTTTCTTCATGTTGATGGTTACGGTTGAAACGACACAACTAACCTCATCAGTGAATTTTGGGTTCCTTTGCTTCAAATCTAATATATCTCGTTTGGTTATCGAATTTTGGTTGAGACGATGCAACCAAAATCGTCATTCCAATTTCTACATATCTGGTTTCAAGCCTATTTCAATTATCTATCCCCTAGGTTGTGATGGATATGCGAATCTTCAAGGTTATATTATTCATCCCCTAGGTTGCGGTGGATAACGTAAGCCCATCCCTGTTGTCTTTTATCCCCTAGGTTGTGATAAATGCACAGGTTCATCCTCGTACTGTTTACTCCCTAGGTTGTAGTAAACATAACTAAACATGTGTAATCTATTGCATCAGTCTCCATGCAACAATGTGTTATCAAACTTTGTTTTATTCGTCCCCTAGGTTGCGATGAATATACAAAATCTGCATCACAAACTTACTATATTAGTCTCCTAGCATTAGTAAATCAGCTTTTTAAACTCGTACCATTTACCTCCTAGGTTATGGTAAATAAGAAAAATCTTACAATCTCTCAGATACCGACGAGTTATCTGCGTTGTCGAGTCTTGATTCTAACCCACTTTGGTCCAAACGCTGGTAAGATGATACATCATCATCTATGCCTATTATTCACACCCATAAGAATGTTGTACAACATATTCTTATATTAGCTCGGACAAATCTTGGGGTTTTCCAATATTTAATAAACTTCCGATTAAACGCGCGAGACCTGCGTATTCTCACACTATTCAATCGAAAGATGATTAAATAGGGGCAACTGTCATACCCCAAATTTGCCCACCCTTTATTTCAACAGTAAAAAATATTTTAATTATTGATTTTAAAATATCATTTTATTTTTATAAAATATTCACTTCCAAACCTGTTTAAAAATATAATGATTTATTTCAGATCATTTGTATTTTTGAATAAATAAATATTCCCATACATTTCATATACTTTCAATTGAGTTTATTTACAAATAAGTAACATATCACAATTGGTAAGGAATGAAGCTTGTAAATATAATGTCACGGGTTCGAATCTCATCTTTAACATTCTAATTTTTTCCTATTTTACTAACTTTAAGCTTTAACATTCTAAATTTTTTCCTATTTTACTAACTTTAAGTTCTCTTCTATTTTTCTTTATTAAAAAAAATCACAAAAAGTCAAAATTACATTTTTTTCTAAACATTTAATATTAATTTTCGTTTTTTGTTTAATCATGTTTTAAAATATCATTATTTTCATTAAAATCATGAATGTGTGCATCAAATACACAAAAAATAGAAATACAGTAAAAATATTTTAAATTTTTTTATTTTAGGATAGTTCTTAATGAATTGATCAAAATAGACATTTTAAAAATCAAATTAAATTAGTTATTAAATTTGGATTAATTATCATTAAAATTGATTATTTCTCTTTTTATCTTTCAACTTAATTCTTAATGTTATAAATAGGTGCATATTTTTTACATAAAGGGGACAAACAACTCACCAAGAATAGCATGCACAATATCCATAAAATTCTCGCACAATTCATCCAAAAATATTGATAATTTTCACAGATCCACGCTCAACAATTTTTCTACCAACAATCACCCACAATTGTAATTTCTCATAATTCATTTACACCTTTTTCAAATATACTTTTTTCTTCTTCACGCATTTTCTTTCAAAATTATTTGGCCGATGATTTCCATATGAGGCCCATCCATATTATTTTCAATTTTATCCTTTATAATTTAAACCATATAATAATATTGTCTGATAGTTGTTTTGTTTTATAATATTTTCTTCTTGCTGTAAATATAAATTTTGTCCTAAATTACTATAATGCATTTTCTTCAACAACTTCACAAGAAACATAACATAATACTACGGTCTTTTTTTATTCGATGGAACCCAAAATTAATAGAATACATATTAAGCAAAGAAACCAACTATGTAGTCAAGCACTTCAATAATTGTATTACTTTTGTATGATACCCTGCCATTATCGTTAACATTGTTTCTATCATATACAAGATTCAAATATCATAACTAATCATTCATGAACCTTCTTCCATTATTCACACAAACAAAAAAACCACAAACTTTTCAAAACAAATTTGTCCCAAATTCTCTTCTAACAACCTGTATTTTTTATTTTACAGAATAATATTTGTGAAAAGAATCAGAAACACAAAATTCGAATTAAATCGCAGCTATTATTATTGATGATTGTGTGTCTATTTCTTCCATCCCTTTTGGTTTCTTTGCATGCAGGTTGTTGTTAATAAAAGAAGAAAGAAGATTTAAAGATATGGCAAATTGGAAGCCTATGATTGCACCACCGCGACTCCCTCCTCCCCATGGCCGCGAGATCCGCCGCCGCGAGACCTCAACTGTCACTACACTCCTAGCGCTGCTACACGAACTTTGCTACTGAACCATTCTTTTCCTTCGCACAAAAAGGCGCTGGTGCAACGAAACACTCCGTCGTAATGTTCCTAAATCCGTCACTATCCGTCACCGATCGAACTACTTCACGCGCACCCTCATCGCGATCCCAACCGCATGTCACTGTCCAGATCCGCCGGTATTCCTTTCTCTATTTCAATCTTGTTTTTTTTAGTTTGTTATTTATGTGTGATTGAGGTTGTTGTGGGGTTGTTTGATTCCTTTGGAAAATAAAAGAAAATGGTTTGGTTATTCTCTATTTTGTACAGAGAGAAAGATGAAACGAGGATAAAGATGGATATGGGTTTTATTTATTTTATTATTTAAAATTCTCCGTACCACGTGTCAATCTATGATTAGTTAAATCTTAATTTAAAAACAAAAAAACAAAAATGAAAAAGTATCTGATACAGAAGGTGGGACGTTCCCACGTTATTCCTACAACAATATTACTACTTTTTTTATTAATTATTATTATAAATATATTAGTATTACTATAGAAACTAATTAGAATTTAAAAATTAGGATTTATTTTGAGTTGGGCCTTTTGGGCTAATGTTTCTAATCTCTTACTTGTTTATACTTTTGCTAATCTTACACCACCCATCATGCTATTGAACACCCTTTAAATATTAATTATTAAAATTTTGTTGTTAACTTAATTAATTAATTTTCTTTTGATTGTTAAAAACATCAAAATACTAAAAAAAATCAAATTCTATACACGATCAAACTTTTTTTTCAATATATTTAATTCAACATTTTATAAATATTAGAATGTCCATCTTCGAGTAATTAAATCGGTCGACACATCGTCTATCGGTTTATTATTCTGAATCTCATATCAAAATCCACGTGACTAATCAAATACTTCATTTGTGAGTGACACGTGGCCAATATCTGGCCACGTGATGAGGAGACTATATCAGATTCCCCTGCTCTGCGTCTTAAAACTACTAACCAATCTCAAATCATTTTTTACTGACATAACAATCAAATTCAAAAACATTTTCAAAAAGGATTAAATAGCATCGCCTTCGAATCAAACTACGAACTGCGTCTACGATCACTCAGTTTACAACTCAGACAAACTTCAAAGTTAATTTGAAAGCAATTCTATGCAATCCATAGAAAAACACAAACCAAACACTGCGAACTACGAAAATGAGACTCTGATTCCTCCTAAGGAGGATACGTAGGCATACGATCAAAAATTGTTGCGAGTACCGCTAACTAAAATTAAAACCCTTTTCCACTAATTATACTTAAAAACCCTATTTCCTAACAATGCGCTTCTAAACCTAGTATCCTTGTGAACAAGGTAGATGAGGGGTTCCTAACACCTTCCCCTCGTCTAGAACCGAGTCAAACTTAGAATCTCTGAATTTCTTTTAGGGTTGTTCCTTTATACTCCCTTCCTTTAGGATAAAAATTAAGGGTGGCGACTCTATCTAAAAACCAGTTGCAACACGGCTACCTCACTACTTCCTAATGGCCAAGTTGTTCAACTAAAGGTTGTAAGGTCAGTTAGTGCTTCATGACACCGCGCAACTGTCTCGTATTCTCCTCGACTCAACACAAGGGATACCAGTACCAAAAATGTTTCTCACTAACATCGCCATTGTTTCTACCATATCGGTCTACACCGTACAATCTCCATAATCTATTGCTACTTACCTAATGATGTTCCCAGATCCGGGTAGAGGATCTATGCAAAAAACCCAAACATAGGCCAAAACATGTAAAGCAAACAAGTCAAACAAATGAAAGAATTTAAATTTCATATAGTCTCTAAGGTAACCCCACTTTTAAGTTTATTCCCCAGTAGAGTCTCCAGTTCTGTAATACGGTGGGAGAACTCACTTGGGTGTTTTTCGTTTTATCGCAATTGTTGCGGATAGCAAGAGTCGCCACCAAATTTTATTTTATCCAATAAAGGAAAGGGTGAAAAGAACATGAAATAGCTTTTGAGAATTTTATTGAGTTTGGGGGGTAGGTTATGAAAAGGGAAGGTGTTAGCACCCTTTTCATCCGTAGTTATCTACGGGCTTTTAGTTGCTTGATCACTTTGAAATGATTTGTTTGAAATGTATTTGTGATGGTTTTGAAAGTATTTTTGAAAATTCCTTTTGTAATACGGTGGGAGAACTGGCTTGGGATTTTTTGTGTTTGATTGCAATTGTTGCGGTTAGCAAGAGTCGCCACCGACTTTTCTTTTATCCAAAAGGAAAGGCTGAAAAGAACAGGAAAGACCTTTGAGATTATTTCTTGAGTTAGGGGGGTAGATTATGAAAAGGGAAGGTATTAGCACCCTTTTCATCCATAGTTATCTATGGGATCTTAGTTGCAAACTTTGTAATGATTCTCGTTTCGGCGAGAATGAATACAAAGTGTTGAACTTTTGAAAATATTTCATATTTTTGAAAGTTTTTGGTGTTTGTTTTTGTTGTACCCCAAAATTTGCCCTCTCATATTCCTCAAAACATTGCAAGAAAAATCTCCAAGTTGCTCAAGTTTGCTCAAGGGTTGGACAAACAAGCTATCTCCTAAGGCAGTCAACTCCAAATTAGGGTTTTGTATTGCATCAAGATCCTTGAGTACAAATGACCTCAAGTTCTCCACAATTTCCTAATATGTTCTCAAGGTCATCCATGTCAAGTTTCAAGCCTTGCAGAGGAAGTTTGCTCAGCCAATTGCTCAAAAGGTCCAAAAATCGACTGTGCTAGGGCAAAAGTCAACTGTGACCCAAATACAGTCAAACTTCAAGATTTTTGGTCAACATTCTCATTTTGAAGGATATTTCATCATTTGATCAAGGATTGATCATGATTCATCAAGGATTGCTCAAAATTCATCAAGACTCAAAAGTTGCTAAATTAGGGTTTTGTAGGAAAAGTCAACTCAACTTTGACCAAGCATAACTTTCTCATAATTTATGAGAAATGACCCATACAAGGCTCATTTTGAATAGAATGAAATTTCCTACAATCCATATTCATACCCCAAGTTCAAAAAATGCACTCACAAGAAGTTATGAATTTGGACATTATAGGTCATTTTTGAAAGTCAACAAAAATACCTTTTTTGTCAAAGCTTATAACTTGAGCGTAGAATATTAAATTGAGATGAGATCAAAAGGGTTGATTAGAGGACATATCAATATTTTTAAAAATTCCAAGAACACTTCCAAAAGTTCAAAATTGAAGAAGTTATGCATTGTTGAAGTTGGACTTTTTTGCAAAATTGCCAAAAGTCAACTATCCCCAAAACCTCAAATTTTGTCAAATGGGTCCATTCTTTTCCACTTGATTTAAGCTTGCATTGTTTCCCACGTGTCCTAGCTTCATCCATGAGCCCATATTTCATTTTTATTATTTAATTTGATTTTTAATTGAATTTATTCATTTTAAATCAAATAAAATCATATAAAATCCAACACTTTGATAACACAAGATATTTTGGCTATTTCCAGCTTTGATTACAATCATTATCATCATCAAATTCGAATCAAACCAAATCATGTGAAAAAAGATTGGAATTAGGCAAAATTGGCAAGTTTGTAAAGGGAGATAAAATCAAATATGCAAGCATTGATAAGGCAAGATTTGGATCAATTTTGTTGACCTAATGCACTGAGCATTACATAAGGAAGGCAAAGAAACAAAAACAAGGGTTGGAAACTATGGAGAGAGGCAGAACAAAAAGTGAAAAAATCACAAAAAAGTGAGAAGTCGAAATCTAGGTTAAAGGCATTTTCAGAGGTCAAGACTTGTTCCAATCGCTTCCTGGGCATTCACACAAGCCATCCTAATCAAAACCAAGCATTTTCAGATGCCCTAACGCACTGTAAGTCGCACGATAGTCACCCCTGTTCTCGATTTCATAATTATGAAATTAGGCATCTTTTTCATGAACTAATACCATATTTTGAATCTACAAAACATTTGCAAGCGATTGGTATTATTCAACTGCGTTTATCTGGCCTGAATGGAGAACCACCATAGCTAGGGTTCTTCGTTTTGTTTTTAGGGTTTTCTGTTTCAGGTAAAATTGAGACTCAAGAAGAACATGGCTTTGATCAGGAGGCCATGACGAATCAAACCATGCTCTTGGAATGGATTTATATGGCCTGGAGAGAATTTTAGGATAGGCCTGCGCTTTTAGCTGCAGATTCAAATCCGCAGGTATTATTTTACAGGGTTGAGGACAGGGATGAATGCGTGGCATCCCATCATTGGGCCATTCAAACCAAGCGCGCATTTTTACTATTTTCTGGCAATAGTTTTGTTTTTATATAATATACATCATTTATATTAATATAACAAATGAAGCAGCGTGTCCCAGTGGTCAACAAGTCAGTTTCCAAGGCGTTAGGGGCTGGAGGTCAGGGGTTCGATCCATGCCTCCAGCACTTTGTATTTTCTTGTTTCTTTTCAGGTTATCGTGTGCATACGTTGGTTTTCCTTCCACCATAGTCCTACATCCACTCAAGCGCCAGATGGCCAATGGCCAGATCTAATGGTCAAAAAGCTGGAGGTCCACCATGAGCCAAGTCCATGCGTGCATACTGGATCCCAGAAAGTCAAAAAGGCCAGCGTTTTTGGGCTTAAGAAATTGCTACTCACACCACAAAAACAGGCCCAATTCCTCATTCCCTTTATATTTTATTTAGTTATTTTATTTACTTTATTTTATTTTTGATTTTTTAACCAATCACAAAATTATGTTTTATTAAATAAAATCACAAAAAAATATTTTTTATTTCAATCAAATTCTTAACTTTTATTTTTATTAATAAAGTTATTAATTAACTAGGTTTTTAATTAGAAAACTCTAGGCAAAATACCCTTTTTAGTCCTTTATGTTTACCCCAAGGTCCATTTTGGTCCTTTATCTAAAAAAAGTGTCAAACTGGTCCTATAATTCTTTCAAAAGGACCATAGGAGTCCTTTCCGTCCATTTTGGTCCTTTTTAGTTCATTGGAGAAGC